GTGCCACCCAGAATCTCAGGACAATGCATCCAATGTGTCACCCACCAAGGACAACACACCCAGCATCTCAGAACCTGGAGCAATGAACCTTTGATTGGAGCAATTACAATTTCTACATTTCCTGTCATTCAAGGAGAATGTCCCAAAGGTCAAGAGGACTGTAGTTTAAAAATTAACCTGTAGGATAGTGGTTGAGGTGTGTGCAGAGGAGCAGAGAGCAAACAGACCCACAAGAAACGTCATGTTTTCCATGCACCCCTCTCACCAATCCTCACACGTTTTACTGCTATGTTACATCTTGAGTCTACATATAGGTGTGGTGATATTAAAGCAGGAATCACCTAAAGCCAACTGTATTATCCTTGCTACATCATGACAGCAGACAACTGGCTGTCAGGGCCACTCACATTTGGAAACAAAGCCTGCACTAGGCTGCTTACCTCATTCATTCTGGAAATGTGAGTCTCAACACTTTGTATACTTGACCTTCTGCTGTTCAAAAAGCTTTTTACCTACTTACATCTTAAGATGTGCAGAGTTCAAGGAGAAAAAAAAAAGATGGAGGAAAAAAAAAACATAAAGGATGAGAAGCACTGGGGTTCTGTCTCTTCAGACAGCTCCAGTGGAGCCTTTGCTGGGAAGCAGTAGAGCTGTGCAAGCATGCCAAGATGCAGAAAACCTGGAAGGAAGCCACATCCAAGTCACGGAGAATATGCCTGTGTCTGTAATTGCTGTTTTCAGAGCTGCCCTCCGCAGGGTTCAAAGCTGGAACTAATCCTACTTTGCATATTCTATTAGGAACGGGGACAGTAGGACTCGCTCCATGGCACCCAATTTTGCAAGAAGCCAGAAGATAAGAGGTGAAATACAGAAAACGTGGAAATATGTAGGAGATACAAAAACAATTTTGGGGAAATAGCTTGCTTGGAAGAAGCAGGGTTGAAAAACACATCTGGGGAAAGCTTAAACAGAAAATAAAACTGTAATCCAAAAGTAATTTTTAACTTAATGAAAAAAGAAGACAAAAAAGGAACACCATGAACACAGCTGCCTGTGCAGACCTTGGGCAAAATATCACCGCATCCTTGTTGGATTTGTTTAGCAAATGCCTGGGTTTGATTGAATACGTTTCACTTCTGAAGAAGCACAGAAGAATGTTTGGAACAGGACAGCTCATCTGTCACACATGTCAGTATGCACCTTACAAACGTGTGATAAAGGTTCTCAGTGTTACAGAAGGTTTTCAGAAGAATAACAAGTGTCTGCAGTTTGGCAGAGCCAGAGATTGTTTACTGCTGCAGTTTAGCAGAGGCATGCACTCTAATTAAACCCCAACGCAACAGCAGGGTATCACTGTCCTCCTTTTCCACTGGAAGGTGCTCTGAGTACAACTGGGCACACTGTCAGATCACATTTTATAAATACTTTGCCTTTCCCATTGCCTAAATTGGCATTCCATGAGGTCAGCACCATCTGCTAGAGTAGGCGGCAAAACTCCCTTTGATTCCTCAGAAAGCCCATTGGGTAAGAGTGAAGTTACCACGATGTTATTCTTCCTTTAGGAGACAATTCCCCACATCACCTACCATAGGCTCCATCCTACCACCTGCATGCAGACAGAAAGCCCACAGAACTCACCGGCCAGCCGAGGGCTGCAGGCAGAGCTCTGTGCGTGCACCACTCCCGAGGGTGACAACGACAGCGAGGTGGGAAGAAAACAGAATTCTGATGCAAATAGGCCAGGAAGAAGGGCAGGAGAGAGAGAGGAAGGGTCTCACTAACCGCGTTTTATTCATTTGTAAATTGTCTGCAGCTATTTTTCCCTTTGTTTTGTGATCTGGAGATGCTGCACAGGTAAGATCATTTTGAAGCTAAAAAAAAAATAAGGGAAGAAAAGGAAGAAGGATACACCATCATTGTTTTGAGAACAGTTTCCTTTTAGCTCCAAAATCTTGTGTTCAGATGCTAACGACACAAAGCATTAGTGCTGATTGATCTGGAAAGCAGTTCTACATTCCTCTTCCCTCATCCAGCAAGGCTGTTAAAATATTTAATGCTATATTTGTTATGCAGACAAAAATGACCAAGTCAGTGTTTACTAAGGAGCTCACATTCCTTTCGTACCTATTGAACTCACCAGTTTTTGATGGCAAGAACAAAGCACACAGACAATCCGAAAGTCTGGACCAACTTTAGAGATCTTATCTGATGCACGCATAGAACACAGAACATTTTTCCAGTCTGCTTCACTGATGCCAATTGCTGTAATGCACCTTCCACATGAGAATTCTGCTTAGAGAAGTCAGCCAACACAGCAGAACCCTCCGTGGACTGTTGCAGTAAGAAGTGCTGCAAAGAACTCCCTCAGCACTGTTTCCACTTTGCATGTACCAGCTGGCAGAATTACAGAAAGTCATCAGGAAACAGCACACCATCTCTAAACACCTCCAAGATTCTGCTATTGTTTACTGGTTGGATTCATGCTCTGCTCAACATCTGCCATACCCCATACAATGCAAGCAGATGCATGTTAGTGGCACAAAGTACAAAGGCTCTCCGGACACAGGCAGACCTCTTTTCTTTCCCCATAAAGGAATGAAGCAGTACATGGAGCAGACATTAAACAAACAGGTCTTGTTCTTTCCCAAGAACGACTCGGACAAGGAAGGGGAACAGCAGTAAGGGACTTTCCAAAGGAAAGTGTGGCCAATGCTCCTGTCACAGCCTCTTTCTACAAATCATTTTCCTTTTTGCTGAAGATTTGAAAGGAATGGTGTCATACTATTGCCTCTTATTTGCTCACCATTGCCCCACTGCTTCAGCAGGTGGGGCAAGAACACTTTGGGCTGATCCTCATGAGAGAACACTGCCCAGAGCCACGGCCAGCAGAAGTAATTGCTTTTTCCTACAGGAAGAAATCCTAAGGAGGATCAAAGAGTCAGAGCACAGCTCTGCAGCTCAGCATGATTTCAACATGAGGGGTCTTGTAAGGGTGCAGCCCTGCAGCTCCATGCTGCACAGAAGCAGAAGAGGTGGGAGAAGCAGCCCTAAAGTAATTCAGAATATAATGTTTCTTTCTCCTAAATGTGATGCACTTCTTACTATTCTGTTTAATAGAATCATAGAATCATTGAGGTTGGAAAAGACCTCTAGGATCCCCAAAGTCCAATCCTGACCCATCCCCACATCCCTCAGTGCCACATTTCCACAGCTCTGGAACACCTCCAGGGACAGTGACCCCAACACTCCCTGGGCAGCTGTGCCACTGCATCACCACTCTGTCAGAGAAGATGTTATTCCTAGTCTTCAAACTGAATTTGTTTTTTTGAGTGGGATGGAAGTGTTCTTTCTCCATGGACTTCTTTCATCAGGCCCAAATCCCTGCATTCAGCTCCTAGCAACACGCTCCTTTTTTGCATGACTACAGTAGTCTACCCCCCATCAACGATTAGAGGGCAATAAACAACTGGAAACTCTGAGTCTAAAAGCATTGTGCCTGGAGAGCATGATTTAATTTCAGCTCTTCAAAACCAACTTTGAGCTCAGAGTGAAAGCAAAGCAGTCAGCATACCGAGCTCAACTGAACCAACGCATTCTGCTTCTCACCTGCTGTAAACAAACATTCCTGTAAGAGCCAAGCCTGATCAGGAGCAGAGCTTCCCCTCTACCTGTGAGTCCCCAGTGCCCAAGCCCCAGGAACTGCAGCATGCCCTGTGTTTCACGTGGCCCCACTCACAGCAGCAGCCCCGGAGCAGCAGCTGCTGCTGGCACCGACCCTCCCGCTGCAGGAACAGGTGATGATGCATTCCTGGAGCTTACACAAGTATGAAGCAACCACTCCATGAATTGCCAGCAGCTGTTTCCAGAACCCCACCCTGCCTGCCGCAGGTATTTGTTTAAAGAATGGCACCCACCCTGGTGGAAGGCACATGCTTAGGCACATGCATGTATCAGCCCTGGAAGGCTCCTGAACCCGGCTGTGCCAGCAAGCAGTTGGGTAACATCAACACTATGGGGCTGGGAAGCCTTCCATCACATAAAGGGAAATGCAAAGAGAGGAAAGAAACCAGAGAGAAATACCCTGCTCTAATTTCATTGTCACTTTACAGGCAGAGCCTAAAGACAAAGTCGCATAGATCAGACTTCCAGCATTGATGACATTCTTTTACAGCACCTTTTGCTTGTAAACCCAAATCCTATTCAGTCTGCATCCCTGGCTCACAGGAGGAACTCCTCGCTGTGTTTTTTTAGAACTGTTTGAGTTAGAAAGGCCCTTTAAAGGCCATCTGGTCCAGCCCCCCTTCAATGCACAGGGACACCCACAGCCCCACCAGCTGCTCATTGCCCATTCCCTCATCCTGGGTGTCCACAGGGATAGGCACCACCACCTCTCTAGGCAAGAAGTGGTAGGTTGGAGGTGGTTACATTTCCACAGCACTCCACAAGTCCCAACTAAGAATTCATGTCTGAAACAACTCTATGTCATTAGAAACCCTGAATAATGCAGTGATCAAAGGCCCTGTCAGTGAAATTCCAGCATACAGCAGGATGAGAGGGTGGCCTGACAGCTAGCTGCGAGTAATTGGGCTGTACTCAGGCTTGTTTTAAGTGCTGCAGGTCTCATGTAACTGGGTCACCAAAACTCAGGCAAAAGCATTCTCTCTTCAGGCTGGGAAGTACTGTTTGGTGCCTGGCTTCAGGCTATGAGATGCGAGTGCTGGGAAGCACAAACACATCCATGCAGATGAGGGCAGGGAACAGGGGCAGCAGCGGGACAACGGGAAGAGCCCTCCTCAGGCTGTGGGACACCCATCACACCCAGACCGAATGCATGACTGCAGTTTTCTTCTGCTGAGTCCCCGTTTAGAGGGATTCAGATGGAATCTCAGAGCTCAGTGAGTGCCCTGCCCACCTGGACAGTGCAAGCCCACCTCTGATATTCATCTATGGAGTACCAGGCACCTGACACCCGTGTCACACAGCAATTTAAAATACAATACCTGTCAGTGGGCAGCCCTGCCACAGCCGTGTCTTGAAGCATGCTGAGGTCAAGCGTCTCAGGCTCCAGGAATGCAAGCGGGGACAGCATCCTTTGGGTGTCCTGCAGCGAGCCTTCATGCCCCAGGTCTGTCCCTCTCAGATGAACATCAGCACAGCCAGCACATGGGGAGCACTCTCCCTGCTCCATCCTGGCGGTGGTTGGGGAGCAGTCTCCCAGCAGCTCTGCCTCCTGCTCCCCAGTACCTCTGCTTAACGCCGAGCCACTTTCAGCAGTGACCAGCATCCTTGCTGTGCCCGTCTCAGAGTTGTCCCCGGGTCTTTCAGTGACTGTTTCAGGGACATCCCCAGGTCTTTCAGTGCCCATCTCAGGAGTGGCTCCAGGTTTTCTGGTGCCTGCCTCTGCTGAGCTCAGCACTGTGTCACTGTTCTCTTGTACATCGCCCTCCATTGCAGCACTGGATCCTAGCTGGGAGTTGGTGTGCATGCAGCTATCCTGGCTGGCTTCATTTTTTAAGTAATCCATTAACTCACGCACAGCTCCTCTCTCCTCTTGTGGACCTTCTGATGTTCCCATGCATTCCCTGTTTCCTGGATCATCCAGCACCACCTGTGTGTCACTCTGTGCTTCAGCATCATGCATAAAATTGCTCTGGGTGCCCAACTCCTGAATTTCTCCAAGTGACATACTGACATTGCCTGGCAGTTTTTCACACCTGTAAGACCCTCCTGGGAGAAGGGCTGAAGTTACCACATCAGAGATAGTTGTGGCAGCGTCCAGATCACTGTACCCATTCTCCTCTTCTCTTGGCTCAGGACCTGGGCACTGCTCACTGTGACAGCTCACACTCTCCTCAGGTGGCTCTGTGCTGCGCTCTGTCATTGAGCTGTCTGTTGGAGCAGCATCCTCCGAGTCCTCTGCTGTCGGGATGCTGGCTGTGCCAGGCTGTTGCTTCTCCTCCAAATGGAATTTCTCTGCTGCTTCCCCATCAGATGCAGCCAGTCCATGCTTCTCTAAGCCCATTAGCGACGCAGGCTCCACACCACCAGCACACAGCCCTGCCTCTCCTTCCATCCCACTGCTCTTTGGATACTCAGCGTTTGCCTTTTGCAGGTTCTCCAGCGTGCATGCAGCATGTGCAGAGCCCTCCAAGCAGGGAACCCTGCCCAGACCAGGCTGCCTGCTTTCTTCTGCTTGCAGCCCTGCCACTGTGTCCTGCTGCAGAGATCCAGGAGCCGTGCACAGAGCTAAAAGCAGCTCTGGTCCTTCTGCCTGCAAGGGGCTCTTGGATACCGTGCCCACCTCGACAGACCCCAAGAAGTTCCCAGTGCCACATGGTTGCACCGTGCCCTCAGTCGCCGGGCTCTGCATGCAGCTTGCATGGCTTCCTGCTGGCAGCTGGGGTAACTCAGAGCTCAGTGTGCTGCAGACCGTTTGCCTGAATATCTGGCTGATGTGCTCCCTGAAGTCCGGCAGGCTGGAGCCCAGCGAGAGGCACGGCACAGCCTCATGCTCCTTTGCAAGGCTCTCCGCAGGCTGCTTGCCAGCACCGCTCTCTGCCCTCCTTCTGTTCTTATTCTCCTTTAAAACCCCTTCCCCTAGCTCTGCATTCCCAGCTTTCTCTAAGATCTCACCGTACTTGTCATCTGCGCAGACACGGGTTGCAATTTCCTCATTACAGCCTCCCTGTTTACCAGCAGATGAAAGGCTCAGCAGCTTCCCTTCCAGAGCAGGGGCTGAGAGCAGCAGCTCTGCCGAGCTGTCATTCTGCTGTTCTTTGAAGTTTACATCACCTTTTGTTTCTTTGGATTTAATTGCAGATAGCTCTTTCTTCAGCTTCTCAGAATTAAACTGTGATAAGTTTCCAGCATTCTGCCCCACATTTAAAGACTGTGTGCCTCCGTCTCCTTGAACTCCCTGCTCTCGAACCCCTCCTCCATCCCCACCCAAGCCCCCTGCAGAGCTGTTTTCTGCCTTTGCTGCTTTCCCTGTGCCTACTCCAGGTGATTGCAAGGACACCTGAAGATCTGAAGCAATCTGCCCATGAGTATTACTTTGTGTGTTCTGGAACTCTATTGCTTCCAACTTATTTAATGATTCCCCTTCAGTACCACTGTCTGCATTGCTTCCAGCTTGCTGGGTGAGGTGATGGAATGCAGAGGTCAGTGCAGAGGGGGCTGTAAAATTGGCTTGACACAAACCAGGCTCCTCTGATGCCTGTTGCATGCAGCTGGATTTATGGGACTTATCAGCAGGAATCACCTCACCATGTGCCTGGGGCAGTGAAGGACACCCTTTTGCCCCCAAACCTCTGGAACTTTCCACCTTGCTCATTTCTTCAACACCAGCATCATCCTCCACACTCACCTCCGTAATCCCACCCCTTTGGGGGAGGTCCCCAGCAGCACTCACACCCTCCATCTCTTCTGAGCTCTTTGCCAACCACGTTTCCCCTTGAATTCCTGTGCTGGCCATTTGAGGATCACTTCTCCCAGCACTATCAGAAGTAGAAGCTATTTCAGGATTACTGGGCAAAGCCTGCTGTACGTTAGTGGCACTTGCTGAATTCTGCATTCCTGGAAGAGCATCTACAGCAGCAGAGTGGTTCTCCCCAGCACTGCCTTTCATCCTGCAGACGCTGACTGGCCCTTCATTCTTGTCAGATTCTTTAGAAATCGTATCACTCTGACATGCTTCCTCATGCTGACTAGCTGAGATCAAAGAATTATTGTCCTGCTTGGGCTTGCTGGAGTTCTGCTTACTGCAGCAGCTTTCTTCTGCCCCGAGATCAGCTTTGTTTTGCTCAGTGCAATTTTGCAAATTAAGCACGGTCACACCAGAAGTGTTTTGCAGGTGTTTGCTGCTGCACGCACCCTCCAACATTTCAGCACTGCTCTTATCCTCCTCCCCTCCTCCTGCTGTGCTGGAGCCACAGTGGAATGCTGCAGGACCCAACAGAGCTCCTTTATTCATGTGTGGAGGCATTTCTGATGCATTGCTGGGATCCATCAGTTCTGAAAGCTGCTCAAGGTTTAGAGGCCCATCTTTGTGCTCCTGGTCATCCACTCTCGTGGTAGTCATCAGTGCACTTTGATGTACCTGGTGTTCAAGTTCCGTGTTTGAAGTCAGCAATTTCTCTATCTGTTCCAGTTGGGGAAGAGCAGCCAGAACATCTGCATTTGCTTGCGGGTCTCCAGAACTGCCCTGCAGGGTCTCTGAAGGGCTGTGCTCATCACGCTCAGATCGGTCTTCCAAACCGCACTCCAAAGAGCTCTGCTTGTCACTCTGAGAAGGGTGCTTGCTCCCCTCACTGCTGTCACTCTCTCCTTCCATGCAAGCTAGACAGGGAACAGGCTCTGCTGTACCAACTTCAGCTGGCAAAGTTTCTGCAATGGCCATTTGTGCATTGCAGTGACTTTCCGCAGCCATTTGCTCCTGCCAAGCTGGTGTCAGCACAGCATCTTGGCACTCGGTGCCTGGTGCCAGCTCTGTGCTCCCCTCAGAGCCACGCTGCATCTCTCCACACTCCTCACCATGCCCAGCAGCAGCCACTTGCTCCTCAGTGCATCCCACAGCACTGCTTCCCATCTCTGCCACCTCATTTAAGCCTTGAAGTTCAGGGTTTGATGCGGATGTTTCCATGCTCCCTCCAGCCTCATTGCTGCTCTCCAGCTCTCCTTGACTGCCTGTTTGGCAGTCAATCCCTAACATAGCTTCTCCAGCAAGAGCCTTTTCCCAGGCTTCACCCTGCCCACTCAGCATAATGCCATTGTTCTCAGGGTGGAGGAGCAGTGAACTGTGTGCACCAGCTGAACAAACCTCCTCAGCCCCATAACCTCCTGGCTGCCCTGGAGTTGTGTCCTTAGCATGGCAGCAAGCAGAGCCCAGCAGGCACTGTGCCCTCGGGCACAGCACGGAGCTGCCCCTGCTCTCCAAAGCACTTGGGGTGGCTGCTTTCCCTCCACCCAGCTGCTGTTCAGCTCTATAGCCAAGGGACTGTGAGTGGTCTTCAGGGAATTCCAATTCACCCCCTGCATTTAGGAGCTTTCCCACAGCTCCTTCCTTCAGCTCACCTGCTGGAGCCTTGGTACAAGGACCAGGTGCTTCAGGGCTTTGTCCCAGGTGGATTTCTTTTGCATCCTCATTGCGGATGCCAAGGGAGCTCAGCAGTTGTCTTTCTGCCACATCTGACCCCGCAGGAAACCCACTGTCTGCTTGTGCCTCCTCTGCTTGTGCTCTGTTTTGCTCTCCTGTGAGGTTCACTGATTCAGCTCCCTTCTGATTAAGTTCTGTAGATCTGCTCAGAGAACCACTTAATGCATATTCTTCCAGCAGTAATCTGTTATCTACGAGGGAATTGTCCTCAGTGGGACTGGTAACACTCTCTGTTTCAGAAAGCACAGACCTCTCTCCAGACACATCAGCTTTTCTGATTTCATTGCTACTGGCTTCATCTTTTTGGCTTTCAGTTGTGACAGCTGATTTTTGCTCTTCCCCTTGTTTAAATGACAAAGGCTCAGCACTAACAAGCTCATCCTCCTTTGGAAGCTCTCTTTGAGAAACGGGATCATCTTTCTCAGAGGCCGTTCCCACCGCTTCACTTCTCATTGGATCTTGGTAGTTGTTCGCAGGCATACATTCCCTGAAAGGTTCTTGCAGCTTTGGTACTGGGAGAAGATCTGGGGAGTCAAAAGGCAGCTCTGGCACTACTAAAGGGCAGGCTGCTGGCGATGCTCTTTGTCTTTGGGTTGGGGTTACCTCATTCCCTGTCGTTGCAGCCCCCACCTGCAGGCTGTAGACCTCCCTGGTCTCAGATCTCTCTATGGAACTCTCAGCATTTACAACTGCTCCTGTTGCTGGGTAATTTGGGATTAAGGTTTCCTTTCTCATTAGCAGACCATCTTCACCATCTGTGTTTAGTCTACCTTGCTGCACTACAGCTTGTGCCTGACCTACTTCCCAAAATCCCAGCTCCTGTTCAGCCTTCTGGGCAGGAAAATAATCCCCTGCTCCTGCACCCTGGGAGGACGTGCTGACCTGCAGCTGCCCCCTGCCCCCCAGCTGCTCACTCTGCCACAGGGTCCTCAACTCCCTCAAATGTGCCTCTGTAGGCTCTGCAGGAGAGCTGGGCTTCCCAGGATCATTCCCACCAGTTCTCAGAGCAGCAGGTGCATTAGGGTCACATTCGGGCCCTCTGTCTTCAGAAACATCGTGTGCTGTTCCTTCCTCTTTGTCATTCATTGTTTCATTGCAGTTTGAGGTTGGCAATACATCACTGCTGCTTGCAAGGCCTGCTGTGACATCCTCCAAACAGCCCTCTGCAGGCACTGGGATAGGCAGACATCTCTCCCTTGCTTCTGCAGCTTGTGGTAAGGCGTCAGAGCCTGTATCTCTTCCATCTTCTTGTATGATACTGCACTGTCCTGTCCCCTTGGAAGGCAACGTGCTTGAGTTTGGGTCGGGTACATCTTCAGTGCTGGAGCTACTGAAGCCTTCATCACTGATGCTGCCAACAGTGGAAACATTTGTTTCACATCAATAAAAGGAAGCAAAGAACGAAAACAATTCATGCCATTGAGGTTTCAAAGCCATGCAGGACATGCATTGAGGAGCTGGCAATCCGCTTACAGGGACACAGACCAGGCACGCATTGCAGTGGCTCATTACACCAGTACATGACCTCAGTCCTTGTCTACCAGCTATCATGCCTGTGACATGCACTTGAACCATTCTCACAAATTCCAGGCAGGTGCTCCCCTTAACAGGCTGAAGGAACAACAAAAGTACCAAAGGAAGCAACAGTATCACTTACAAGCAGTAAGGAAAAAGTCTTTCTGGAGGGCTACTTCGCATGAAGCTAAACGTTAGGCAGCCCACTGGGACTGCTGTAATTGCATTGAGTAATAGAAGATGAAGGCCCATCTGCCCTGTTTTCTCCCACTGGCCAGCAGAGCTGCTTGTCACCAGCAAGGCAAGAAGTCCCAGCCTGCAGAGCCACGCAGCCTGTGTGCTCACCTCATGGCATTCTGTATACCCAAGCTATAGCTGTTCAACTACAGATGAGAGTAAAAATGGGAATAGAAACGTTGTGGATGCCAAATGGGTTTATGCAGTTGGGTTCAGGATGAAAAAAAGTGGGAGCCAGTTGCCATTTCAGTTCCTTGTTCACTCTGCAGCTTTGTTTTCTTACTAACTTTCCAGGATCCTCCAATCCAGAAGCATGCTCTGCTCCTAGAGGAGAAGCCCTCCGATGTCCAGGAGGCTGAGTGCTGGAGAAGGAAGGAAGCACCACCTGCAGCAACAGCTCCTCCTTATGGCTTATCTGTGGTTCTTTATCTACCAGTAACTCCACCTGCCAGCTGAGTTAGGAAAGCATGGTAATAAGT